GCTGCCACTGACGGGACACTGTCTTCTGCAAGGGGTCCCCGAATGAGAATCTTCAGGAGAAAAAGTGTCCCGTTGCCTCTTTCCCGACTCGTAGCTCCCGCCTTAGCGATTTAGATACTTTGTTTCTCTATCGTTTGAAGTGCATGGCAACTGTTAAAGTTCCTTCCTTTGTTCAAGATAGCGAGATCGACGGAATTGCTCCGAATTAAACATTTAAGAGACAATTTTCTGCTTTTTTTCTTTTCTTTTGCTCCTTTTCTTAGGCCAGCATGGTACATTCTTTGATCGAAGCATATGCACTGCATAAGCAAATGAGGTGAGTGATTTTTCGTTAACTCAGGTGTTCCCGGTCTAAATGTCCCGTTCCACCTTGGGGCTAATCAGGGACGGAATGGTCCTTTTAAAGCTTTTGGTGATTCGCTGTTTGTAATTTCCCTGTAATCTAATGAAAGCTCTTAAAGAATTAAGAAAACTCGAAAAAAAAAGTTCATGAAGCACATAAGATCCATTAGAAATAGGATTTTATTGCCGAGAGGGCAAGTATGCTGGAACTAGGTATGGGGCTAGGAGGTGTTCAGGTTTGGGGGTTTTTCTCCAAGCCCAAACTGAAGTCGTGTGTTCAACTTCAGACTCTTAGATACTCGGTCACCACCAGCAGCCTCTAATGAGTGAGCCTGGAAACCAGACCAAAGCCGGCTCCTGGGAGCCGGTGGCTACTCCCCTCAGAGCCAACTGAACTTCCTGTTTGTCGTTTTAAGAGTGAATATTATAACCCTGCCACTTGTAGGATTGTTTATCACATTTCGTGGCCAAACAGGCGAGTGTCTGTTTACGCCCGCCGGTTCGGTATGCTTCATTTATCTCCCAGAAGGTAGTGTAGTTGGCTTTCAAATTTTATCCTTATTATTAACAAAATCGTTCATTGAGTACCTGTGTGAGGACTGTTTTTCAACCGTTTTTTAAGCCTCTGTGTTTGGTAAACATAAAACTACGTGCCTTCTATTAAAGTAAACATTTCAAAAAATGACTAAGACAAACAAGAAATCAAAATAAAGCAAAACTGTCAAATTTCTTTGTTGTTCACCAGGGAGGCTTTCCGTAAGTATTTGCTAAAGGGGAAGGGTACTGGAAGAGGAAGCTATTAGGGCTGGAAAACATGGTCCGAGGAACTGTAAAATTTTTATTTTAGTGGGCAGATCTGTCACCTCTGAGGATATAGACCTGTTTTCTTGAACTGGAAGCAGCAATCAAATCCTCAGATCCTGACTGTATGCATTTAATTTCTGAGGCTGAGCCTCAGGATTGTGGCCCATTTGGTGATTGTAGTAGCCTGTGAAGTCATACTAATTCATGAGAAACTCATGGCCATGTTCCCATTCGAGAAACTGAAAAAAAAAATCAGTCCTGCCTCCCTGTGGTCCAGGCCGCTGCTTTTCCAACTTGAGTATGTATAAGAATCACCTGGTTACAACCAAAATCTGCTTCAATAGGTCTCAGGTGCAGCTGGAGGTCTGTCTGTCTTTCTAGCAGCTCCCAGGTGATGCTGCTGCCAGTCCACAGACAGCCCCCGCCCCCGTTTCAGTGGCCAGGACTAGAGAGCAGTAGTGGAAGCAGAAACCGGATTGGGGAACAGGTAGGCAGAGGTTAGAGGTCGTAAGTCCTGTTGGTAGCTTAGCACTCCGTCACTCCTGTTTGTCACTCCTTGTGAGGAGTTGGTTGGGGGCTTGCGAGTGAAGCCCAGCTCCAGCCCAGCTCCTCATCTTCCTCCCAGAGGCTGATGGGAAGGAGGGACCAAACGTAGAAACTGATGTTTTGGTTGCCTTTTTTACCCTTTAATATTAAGAACAACGATAGCTATCCACAAAGCATTTTCATATATGTTCTCACTTAATCTTCACCTCCCCACTTTACAGATGAGGAAACTGAACTCCAGAAGTCTTTTTACCTGAGGTTGTAGAGCCGATGAGCACAGAGTTAGGACAGGCACGTAGTTCTCTGGCTCCGAATGCAAAATTCATAACAGTACAGCTGCCCGTGGAAATAAAAACACAGCTGAAAGGAGATGTGAACCAATTAGGAACCGCTTCAAATGGCAATACCTCAGCCTAGTGGTTGGTCACGAAAGTTGTTACAGAGTAAAGTTTGTCCAATACCTGCTTGTTTCAATATAATTACATTTTTTTTTACCTCCCTGTGAGCTCAAGGGGAAAATCTATCCTCTCATCCCCATTAACGGAGTCATTACGTAGATGTGGAGAAGTGAAGACTATATAGTGCAGCAGAGGAAAAGAACGTGTTTGTGACTGTAGCCGCTGGAACCAGAAGCCAGGAGTTGTGTTTTCTGCTCAGATGACTGGTTCCTGCTTCCAGCTTCTGGCATACTCTGGGTCTGACTCACTCAGCTCTCTTTGTTCTCCGTTATTATTAGAATAGTTAAGCCCAAAGTGGCCTCCATGGAGGAGATGGCCACCTTCCACACCGATGCCTATCTGCAGCATCTCCAGAAGGTCAGCCAGGAAGGAGATGACGAGCATCCGGACTCCGTAGAATATGGGCTAGGTAAAGTCGCCGCTGGGCAATGATGGGACGTACGCAATCTCCATCTATGGAGCAGAACTGCTTAATCTTTTATACCTTGCGCGCTGGCCTTTAATACTTCTTAGTTAAGAACTAATTGAAAAGTGACAAAATTATTTTTAAAAATTCGAAATTAAAGAACTAATGCATCCACCGCGATCTCAATCTGTCAGTTTAGGCACATATGCCTCCCTTAACAAAGCAAACCATAGAGTTGAGCAAAACTGACGGATGGATCAGATGGAGGAAAATCTTTGTTTGAGTCGCTCAGGCCCTGATAGCAGTGCCCAGATCGGGCCTGGCCTTTGTATGCTGACTTAACTGCGCTGTGACCTTGCATTTCAACTTGACTACAGATTTCTGTTCTGGCTAAGTTTTCTACTTTATTTCTCATTGAACAGCTGCATTTAAAAAATCGGAAGTGGCTGATAGCATAACCTAGAGAGAAAGCGTGGTTTAGTACAGCACTGGATGGGGGTGGGGCAAGAGACCTTTCAGACCTTGATTTATCCCTGTATAGGATGTGACTAGTTATCTTGAAGGATTAGCCTTTCTAGCTCTGATACTAAAAACTTCTTTTCCCGACGTCAGAGATGTTTTTGTCTTGTCGGGAGCCGATGTTAGCCTAGTAGCTTTTCGGTTGATTACCCAGCTGAGCCTTGAACAACACGGGTTTGAACTGCAAGGGTCCACTTATGTATGGGTTTTGTTCATTAAGTACTGTCAATATCCTTTCTCTTCCTTATGATTTCCTTCATAACGTTTTCTTTTCTCTAGCTTACTTTACTATAAGAAAACAATATATAATACATATGACATACAAAACATGTTCAGTGACTGTTTATGCTAACAGTAAGGCTTCTGGTCAACACACAGTAGGCTATTAGTGGTTAAATTTTGGGGAGTCTAAAGTTATACATGGATTTTCAACTTTCGGGGTGGGGGGCGGCAGGCACCCTAATAATCCCTGCGTTGTTCAAGGCTCAGTTGTAAAGAGCTCTAACTCAGGAACAGCGAGATGGAAGAGATGCACAGGCAAGGTACAGGGAAGGGGCACGGAGCTTCCATGCCCTCTCCAGGGACCACTCTCCCCAAATCCCCACGTGTTCACCAGCGCACAAGCTCTCAGAGCCCCATCCTCTTGGGTTTTTATGGAGCTTCATTAAAGAAGCATGGTTGATGTAACCCATTTCCCGTTTAGGAAAACAAAGGGCAGCTCGCTGCCAGCGTTCATTTAATTTGACATAAACACGCTCTTTGAGGCTGAAGCAAATCTGACTGGTTCTCAATGTGAAAACAAAATATAAAACTGTTCTTGGGGTTATTTCTAAACAGAACTTGTCTCTAGTCCTAACGTAACAGAAATGTGTACATAAATCAGATCCATCCAATGCATCTTCAGCTAACAACTGTTGGAGAATGACGTCAACATCACGTGTAGGAACATATATAGTTCGTAAATGGAAATCCCACTACTAAAACTAGAATGTTATAAATAGAACGATGCCATTTGTTTCCAAAGACTATCATATACTGGAGCAATGCGAAAATAATAATAAAAGCGAGATCTTTCGAGGCCAACTTTGGAGATCAGGTTAGGACTGTGATCTGCAACTTAACTCAGGGTAAACGCTGCAGGCACAGGCGCCGCTGGCAAGTATTCTCAGGGCCAACGGGAAATGGGTTAATTCAGCCAATTGCTGATGGAGCTCAATCTCCAGCTCCTCTCCCCTTGCTGGAGGTCATCCTTAGGTGTGGTCCACTAGTCACCTCTTAATCGCTGTCATCGCTTAGGAAATTCCAAGAGTTTTTGGAGCTCCGTGCCAGGAATGGGGATGAAGACCAAACATATGTTTCTTATAAATCACAGTATCATACCTCCTCTTTCTCCAGATCATCATTTAACAAGCTCTTTTGATGTTTACCCAAAGGTTATGACTGCCCAGCCACCGAAGGGATATTTGACTACGCAGCAGCTGTGGGAGGGGCTACAATCACAGCTGCCCAATGCCTGATTGATGGAATGTGCAAAGTAGCAATTAACTGGTCCGGAGGGTGGCATCATGCAAAGAAGTAAGAAAATGACCTTTCTGCTTTCTGCCTCTTTCCTTGAGTCAGTTTCTCGGTAATGAAAACTCGGATGCTTATTGTATTGGCATTTATTGAGAGACTTGTTTACGTATTAGCCCTTAGTGGACATTCTCATGAGATGCAAATGAGATAGAAGATGGCATAGTAGAGTAGGTCAGGATCCTGGGCTCCATGCCTAGTTTTTCTGCAAGTTTTGCTAACTAAGACAGATGAACCTCTCTGGGCCTCAGTTGCTCCATCAGGAAAATGGGCAGGGCAAAAGGGTATAAGTAGACAATCCCAAAATTCTCTTTCAGCTGTCTGGAAATCCCCCGTCGTCAAGGGATTTACACTCTAGAAACATGACTGAAACTAGAATAGTTGGGGAGCAACATCAGTTTGGGGACCAGCTGAATATACGGATGAGCTGGAGAGATTGAGCAGCAGGATAAATTAGTCATGGCGTCTCAGAGGAGGTGCATTTTACAGCCAGGTCTTGAAAGAAGTGGCAACAGATTTTCAAATAGGTGGACAATTGATGTGACTAGATTTAAAACAAAAAGCTGAAGAATCGAGGAGGCTTATGCTGCCACCTGTAAGGAAAGCAGCAGCTAAGAGTTAGGTGTGACTCTAAGGAAAAGGAGCTTGTGAAACAGCTGTTCTTAGGTGCTACTTGGAGTTAGAGGGAAAGTCCTTTCAGGGTTTCGTGTTAACATTTCAAACAGCTCTACTCTGTGACGGGAACTGTGGGGCCTCACTCAGCATTTGGCGTCTTGCTTGGCATGCCTGTAGTACTTAATACATGTTGAGAAGGATTTCTTAAACTCTGAATTAATCAACATGCCGTCATTACCAGTGCGTCATTCACACGCCAGTTGGCCATAGTGTCGGCCATGACCTTGATACTCTCCAGTGCTCTTGAGTCTGGAGAAACCAGCACTTTATTTTTTTGGAATGAAACCTTGAGCACAGTTTCAGTACACGCAGGTTAAGGCAACAACAGGGAATTCTCTTCGTGAAATCGACAGATTTCCCACCCTCAGAAGTTCCTGACAAAGTTTGCTACTAAAATCTGCTTTGGAGGCGAAGGAGCAAAGAGAAGCAGTGTTTAGTCATGTTTCACGTGGCCGTAAAAACTAAGAGAAACAACTTCTCTTTTGTTAGCATTTGCTCTGCTTTTAAAAATGTAAAATAAATACAGCGAGCCCTAGGAGAAAGCAATGAGCTCCTCTCTCTCAAGCTACAGATGAGGCGGGGGGCCCACACTTCTCCAGACATGGGCGGTGCTGGTCCTGTGAGTCAGACCTGCTCTACATGTTGCCCTGGAGGAGCTCATGTGTTTAAGTTCACTGCCAAAGGTCTGCTGGGGCTTGGGCCAGTTCCCAGTGCGAGAGCCAGATACCTGCCACTTCTCATCACTGTTTTGCAGCCAGAGGAAGTACACGCTGTCTTAAGCCAATCATGGCTGCTTCCGGGCTGCGTGTAGGTGTGGGCACACGCACACACCTTACTGTAACTATGTCAGACACCTTTCAGCTGAGCCTACCTGGAAACAGACACACCTGTGGTGAATGTACATCGCATAGTCTCTAAGGATTTAGCACCTCTGGAACCTCTGCAGGTGCAGTGCGGGCATTTAGCCTGCAAACTTACATATAGCCATCAATGATCTGTATAATGGCCACAGTATTTCCCCATCCCCAAATACATGTACACATCCATACGTGCCATTTACTCATTTGACGTGTTGATTAAGCACCTACTATATGTCAAGCATATTTGTATCATCACTACTAAGCAGAAGTATATGATATGTCTTCACCCCTAACAGTTTTAGAAAAAAACCTCTTCAAAATATCTAGGTGCTCACAAGATTCCAATGAAATTGGCATATTCTTTCTGAAAACTTTGGACATGAGCGTTACAAGAGTGGGGGAAAAGTTCATACCTGTTGACCAAGTGATATTATTCTTAGCAATCTGTTCTAATGAAATAAACCAATCCTGTCCTCGAGAAATTCATATCGTAGAGGTATGACAGCAAAGAATTACATTCGAGAGCGAAAGAGTGGTTTTCAAAGAAAATTCTGCAAAAGAAGATTAATGAGGGACTAATGCGATTAGATATTAAACCTACAAAACTAGAATAATGAAAACATCGGTGCCATGGCTATAAGCTATGACAGATGATATTATAGTAAACTCCCCGAAGAGACTTTCGTACGAGCATTCAATCTATTATAAGGGATGCGTTGCAAGTGAATGGGAACGGAAAGGATTGTTCAGTAAATGATGTTGTGACAGCTTGTAGCATTTATACCCTCATCTCCTGTAATAAACTAAAATAAGTGGCAGCTGGATTGAAGAGTTAAGTATAAAAAAGCAAATTTTAAAGAAGTAGAACGAATGAATATTTATCAAGCTTCTAAAGGGGAGTCATTTTCTAAGCTTTAGGAAGTAACAGGAAAAACTCACAAAGGAAAAGATCAACAAATTTGACTATATAAAAATTTTAAAACCAAAATAACTTAAAAGTTTTTTGGCATTTTAAAAATAAAATCTAAACATACCGAAAAGGCACACGACATAAATACGATGAAGTGTGACAGGGTCGTATTTCCTAAGGTACTCATACAGTATGATGCGTAAGAATATGCGCAAAGAACATGAGTAGACAATTTTCAGAGTAGTTTAAGAACAACTAGAAAACACAGGACAGTGTTCATTACTACTGATCAAAGACATGCAAAGTCAAACAACTAGATAGCCTCTTTCTAAGCCTTTTATCTAGTAACTTTACTCCTGAGAATGTTTCCTAAGAAAATAATTCAAAGTATGGAAAAAGCTGTTCGTGTAAAGGTGTTTATCAGTGTTATTTATTAAAAAAAAAAAAAGAAATAACACTACCGTCTAGCAATAAGGAAATGTTGAATCTACCCCATGGGATATACTGTCATTTTAAATGATGATTATGAGGAATACGGGGCATTTCAGAAAGACACTTATGTGTTAGTGAAAAACCAGGTTTAAAAATTGTGTGCCCGTTGCAATTACACACCTGGGGGGAAAAAACTGGTAGGAATGATAGCTGTGGTTATGTTAGGGTGGCAGAATTATTGATGATTATTAAAAATGTATTTCTCTGGCTTTCAGAGTTTCTGTAGCGAGATTTTATTACTTTCGCAGCAAAAATTAAAAGAGGAGAAAGAAAAGTTACAGAAAATATAACAAAGGGTTAAAAACTTTAACTATTCTGGTTTTTTATCCACTAATAATAAGATAGGTAGGCAAGGGACATCAAGGGACGTGACCAGACAATTCACGAAAGGAAATAAATGGTAAAGAAACATTAAAAAATACTTAACATCATTAATAATTAGAGGAAGTGAAATTTAAATATCATATATACATGTATATATTTTCCTCCTACCAAAATTGAGCCAAAGGAAGAAAAATTTTAACTTACAGTATCTGTTATTGATAATCTATTCTAATGAAATAAAACCATCCAAATTATAGAAGAGCCATGCATGTGGCTGATACTATCCCGCCCAAAAGGGAAGGATACGTAAATATTCAACAACAGTGGAATGGTTAGGTAGTATACTGCAACGCACCTACTTGTTGGACTATTATATACCCATTAAAAATGGTGGTTAGGACAAGAAAAAGCGCACGTCGTATGTTGGGTATGTGTTTAAAGGGTAGGTAGCTACCACATCATACGTTCACTTCGATTAGAGTCATGTAAAAATATATACAGAGGAAAAAATTCTTAGAAGGAAATACTGTTTGCATGTTAACAGCGGAGGGGTTAAGGGCGTAGCCCTGCACGTGCACACATTCCCAACCGCACTTGACCCTTGAACATGGCTTTGAAGTATGCCGGTTGATTGAAAAACAGCCACGTATAAGTGGACCTGAACAGTTCAAACCTGTGTTGTTCGAGGGGATATAAACAAGTGTGTGTGTGTATGTGTGTGTGTGTGTGTGTACACACATATGTATCCGCGCACTTTTTTTCTATTTCCTTTACTTTTCCTATATTTTCTCAAACGTGATTATATTCCTTTTATCAATGAAGCTTTCTGTAATAACTGCTTGGAACAAGGTGGGAAGCAGCTACAATATGGACACAGAACGGTCTGTTGTACAGAGAAGGGACGATCAGGGTGTTTTGTAAGCCGTGCTGAGGACTTGAAGATTTTTAGAGTGGGTGGCAATGTGCCAGCTGAATGGGAGGAAGCTGAGGCCACAGGTCGAGGAGAAGGCTATTGCGGTTATTCATTTAACAAACATTCAGCTTTTCGTCAAAAGGCCACTTAGTGAATTCATTTAAAAGGGGGACTACAGTTTTAAAGTAAATAGTGGAGGGGCTACAGCTTGATTAGGATGCTAACTTGAATAACTGAAAACTATTCGAATGTTTCTCTCTTTTACGAAAAAACTGAATGCTAAGTGATTCTTCCAACAAACAAAGAATGTATCGAGAATTGATTGTTTTTGTTTTGGGCCTAATTTTTGGAAGGAAATTACGTATTTCAAAATGGTACATTTCACTTCCTGGGAGACTTCAGCAGCGTGATCACTTAGAGGGTTGATTCTGCCAAAATATTCGGGGGCTTCATCAGTTTTACCGAGGGCTTCTTAGTCATTTGGTATTCAAATCACTGTTTTGAACCACTTTTAAAATCATTCTCCTTATTTATTTTCCTCTTCTTCTGCTGTAAACTGTTCTACCGGATCCTTGTCGTCAGTTTTGTGTGCCGACTTCATGATATCCTGCATGTTTTTATAAGATCTAAAATTTCCCTTTGTGATAGATTTGCCTCGTTACCCGCTGATATATCTGACAATCCATAAGAGATGAAAAGATTGAACAGGTGGATGGGGATCGGCGCTGGTGATGAAAGGAATAGGTTGTTTGAATGGAGACCGATACAGGTGGTCAGTTCGTTAGCAGATACAGCTCTTGTATCCTTAGGAACCCTAACAACCTTGATA